GTGGCAGTTAGCTTGAGCGCAATGCGCGGCCGACCCCTCCGTCGGGACACGACGCTTCAGAGTTCTAAGCCCCAAAGCCCGATAAAGCCCAAGAAACCAGAGTAACAAGCTAACTGTAGCTGCATGACCTCAACAGAGTATACGGTATGAAAGTAATCCAGGAGCCGCCGATGGAAGCGTTGACCACGGTTGTTCAAGCTGCTGTGCAGTCGCAGCAACCTGAGGACCTGAAGCTCTAAACCCAATGCCCGAAACCCTACCTGGACAGCTTTCAGTCCCCTGCACTCAATTCCCAGTGGTATGGATTTCTGTCTTTCAGGAGTTAGGGTTTAGGGTTCAAGGAGGGTTCAGGGGCCCCTGTGCGAAGCCGCAGGTGGCAGTTAGCTTGAGCGCAATGCGCGGCCGACCCCTCCGTCGGGACACGACGCTTCAGAGTTCTAAGCCCCAAAGCCCGATAAAGCCCAAGAACCCAGAGCAACAAGCTAACTGTAGCTGCATGACCTCAACAGTGTATACGGTATGAAAGTAATCCAGGAGCCGCCGATGGAAGCGTTGACCACCGTTGTTCAAGCTGCTGTGCAGTCGCAGCAACCTGAGGACCTGAAGCTCTAAACCCAATGCCCGAAACCCTACCTGAACAGCTTTCAGTCCCCTGCACTCAATTCCCAGTGGTATGGATTTCTGTCTTTCAGGAGTTAGGGTTTAGGGTTCAAGGAGGGTTCAGGGGCCCCTGTGCGAAGCCGCAGGTGGCAGTTAGCTTGAGCGCAATGCGCGGCCGACCCCTCCGTCGGGACACGACGCTTCAGAGTTCTAAGCCCCAAAGCCCGATAAAGCCCAAGAACCCAGAGTAACAAGCTAACTGTAGCTGCATGACCTCAACAGAGTATACGGTATGAAAGTAATCCAGGAGCCGCCGATGGAAGCGTTGACCACCGTTGTTCAAGCTGCTGTGCAGTCGCAGCAACCTGAGGACCTGAAGCTCTAAACCCAATGCCCGAAACCCTACCTGAACAGCTTTCAGTCCCCTGCACTCAATTCTCAGTGGTATGGATTTCTTTCTGTCTTTCAGGAGTTAGGGTTTAGGGTTCAAGGAGGGTTCAGGGGCTACTGTGCGAAGCCGCAGGTGGCAGTTAGCTTGAGCGCAATGCGCGGCCGACCCCTCCGTCGGGACACGAAGCTTCAGAGTTCTAAGCCCCAAAGCCCGATAAAGCCCAAGAAACCAGAGCAACAAGCTAACTGTAGCTGCATGACCTCAACAGAGTATACGGTATGAAAGTAATCCAGGAGCCGCCGATGGAAGCGTTGACCACCGTTGTTCAAGCTGCTGTGCAGTCGCAGCAACCTGAGGACCTGAAGCTCTAAACCCAATGCCCGAAACCCTACCTGAACAGCTTTCAGTCCCCTGCACTCAATTCCCAGTGGTATGGATTTCTGTCTTTCAGGAGTTAGGGTTTAGGGTTCAAGGAGGGTTCAGGGGCTACTGTGCGAAGCCGCAGGTGGCAGTTAGCTTGAGCGCAATGCGCGGCCGACCCCTCCGTCGGGACACGAAGCTTCAGAGTTCTAAGCCCCAAAGCCCGATAAAGCCCAAGAAACCAGAGCAACAAGCTAACTGTAGCTGCATGACCTCAACAGAGTATACGGTATGAAAGTAATCCAGGAGCCGCCGATGGAAGCGTTGACCACCGTTGTTCAAGCTGCTGTGCAGTCGCAGCAACCTGAGGACCTGAAGCTCTAAACCCAATGCCCGAAACCCTACCTGAACAGCTTTCAGTCCCCTGCACTCAATTCCCAGTGGTATGGATTTCTGTCTTTCAGGAGTTAGCGTTTAGGGTTCAAGGAGGGTTCAGGGGCCCCTGTGCGAAGCCGCAGGTGGCAGTTAGCTTGAGCGCAATGCGCGGCCGACCCCTCCGTCGGGACACGACGCTTCAGAGTTCTAAGCCCCAAAGCCCGATAAAGCCCAAGAACCCAGAGCAACAAGCTAACTGTAGCTGCATGACCTCAACAGAGAATACGGTATGAACGTAATCCAGGAGTCGTCGATGGAAGCGTTGACCACCGTTGTTCAAGCTGCTGTGCAGTCGCAGCAACCTGAGGACCTGAAGCGCTAAGCCCAATGCCCGAAACCCTGCCTGAACAGCCTTCGGTGCCCCGTGCCCACCACACAGTAACCCCTCTGATATCCGTTGCCTTCTTCAGGAGCTAGAGCTCAGGGTTCAAGGAGGGTTTAGGGTTTAGGGTTTAGGGTTTAGAGGGTTCTTGATTGTACGCATCCCCATGCGGCATTTGGCTTGAGCGCCAGGCCCCGCCGACACTGGGTCGAGGCCCTAAACGCTAAACCCTAAACCCTAAACCCTAAACCCTAAACCCTTAACCCTAAACCCTAAATTCTCAGCCCTACTGCACAGGAGATGTTCTTGCCGCTGAGCCATTTCAATCCTGGTAGTCGGGGGCACCCGGAGCTTTGCAAGAGGCCTATGGGCAGGGATTGAGATGGGGAGTTATGGGGGGGGTAGAGTGTTGTTCTTTCTGACCCCCCCAAGTAGAGTAGAAGGACCCCCCAACATCCCAGCATGTTCGGAAAATTCCAAAGGAAGGTGCTTGTGTGTTCGGGTCTTCAGGTGCAGGGCGGCCTAGCGGCGGGCTTTTCATCGGGACCTCATCGGGAAGTTGTGTTAGCAACACACCCTGAACCCGAAATCCCACACGTCAGTGTTTGCATTTAGGGGTGGCTGTGGATCAGCCGTTTCTGGAGATGCTCCCATCTTGTATCCTGGAGTTTTTTGGGGTTGCCGGCTTAAGGGTTTTTTAGGGGTTACCGGCTTCAGGGGTTTAGGTTTTTCAGTGTGTAGGGTTTAGACCCCTAGGCAGGACCTTATCTCTCCTATATATACTGGCTTTTCAGAGGATCTTACAAGACGGCGGGGCCCTCGATCCCATGCTGGTGGCCTTGCTTCGTTGAAACTGAGCTCCACACCTTGCCCGAAAACAGTTTAAACTCTACTCAGAACCTAAACCTGAAGCCTCAATCCCAAGCTCAGGCCATGTGTGTACATCAGCGGGCAGGGGGTTTGCCAACTGGCCGGTGCATGCGAATACTGCCACTCGACAGCTTCAAAACCCAAGACCCCAAGCAGTAAACCCTACACCCTCAACCCTAAACCGTAAACCCTAAACCCTGACCCTAAACCGTCAATTCCATATCTGAAACTCAAGCTTTAGTCACCTAAAGCACTACAAGGTTTGCCCTGAAGCCTATATAAACCCCTGTGAAATTGACCCTGGCAGGTGTAGCGCCTCACAGTAGGGTAGTTCTTTCAGTACCGAGATTGAGCCCCTGCTGGCCAGGGCCCTTGAGCTCAACGCGAGAAAAAGGTAGATGCGTAGTGGTCGTGGCTGATGCCTCAAACTGCTAGACTCACAGCGGCCGTCGGGCCAGGGTACGCCCGAGGCTACACCCACCCGGAAACAACGGTGGAGTGAAAGGGTCTCAGGCATGGTCTGGGTTAGCGGCCGCCGCGTTGCCGATGCTACAACGACGCCGCCGTTCATGGGGGAGGTTCGCGCAACGAGGTGGGGCTGGCTAGACCGCAACGCTGTGGCCTGGCCGCCGGGATGCTGAGGGGGCCTTGGGAGCCCTTAGATCAGGTACGCTGAGACCAAGCCCAGCTTCACGCGCGTAGAATATGGGTGGCTGCTCGGTGCTCCTCTCGATCATGGGCGGGGGCCGCCTGGAATTCGTCATGTTGCAAGACGGTTTCACCAAGGGAGCGCCGGGAGCAGCTGAGACTATGAGACAGTGGGGGATGCAAAGACGTCCATGAGGAAGTGGCACCGAAGAGCACACCAGCACAGTCCCAGCGCCTGGAAGAATGGAGATTTATAGCCATCCTCCTCACCAACGATGGCATCTCGGGGACGAACATGGAGCAAATAGCATCGCTGAGTGAGGGGACCGCCGCTATAATGGGGCCACTTTTCTACTTGGCCGTCGCGGCCGGGTGGGGGGAGGGGGGGGGGGGCCCTAAAGAAAAAGAAGAAGAAGAAGAAGCAGAAAGAAGCAGAAAGAAGCAGAAGCAGAAGCAGAAGCAGAAGCAGAAGCAGAAGCAGAAGCAGAAGCAGAAGAAGAAGAAGAAGAAGAAGAAGGAGAAGAATAAGGAGAAGAAGAGGAGGAGAGGAGGAGAGAGGGCGAAATTGGCGATTGCGCCGCGCCTTTGGTCATTTGCCGCACGATTCTTGAGCAGGTCCTTCGTCAGTCGAGGGCTCACTCTGCACTGCTGGAAGGTCTGCCAGGACGCTGCTTCTTGCCGAAGCACCGCGTCGTCGCTGATGCCTAAGCAGTTGAAAAAGGCCCTAGGAGCTGACTGCCTAGAGATCAAAGACTCATCAGTTGGTACCCGACACACGCTCCTCTACTTGGTTGGCCTGGGGACCAACTTCCAACAAGCCGTACCGTTCGGGAAGGGGGTGGTAACCCATCATCAGCCAAGATCCAACGTGCAATTCAGGACTGACAAGAAAGGTCGCTGGCGCCGTTCAAAGGAGTGCAGACAGTGTTCACATGACCGACAGGGTAGGGGACCTGGTAGTCTACCGTCGTGACTGTACGGGGCACCCAAGGTATGGTCTACGATTTCCCGTGTGATAGTGCTAAATGAAGGTGTCTCAGTTCTGGTGAGCTGGGATAGAAGTAGCAGCAAAGCGGATACTGTCAGGAGAGCCGTGCGTGGACCGGAACAGAGATTCCTGGACGACGGTCATCAGTCCGGCTGCCATGGCGCCGGAGCACGAGGGTGATGCTGCACCCCGATGTCGATTGCGCCGTAGGTCCCCCTTCGAGCGCGCTGGGAATGCCGAGCCCTGAGGATGCAGCACCTAGTACGCTTATGTTTCCTCCAGAAAGGCCTAGAGCCAGTGCGCAGCCCGTCAGAGGTCTGGATTTCAGTCAGAGTTGCGCATGCAGCGGAAGAGACTCCGATGCCCGGTGCAAGGTGCGGTCGAAGCCTTTGCTCCAATAATGCAGTTGAATCGAGGCGACCGCTCTCACACCGCGTGCTTGCGTCTACTAGAGCGCTGGACACAGGATCGTTTTCGGGCGGCCACCTAGCCTGCAAGAACATGACGAGATCGCGAAATGATCATGCGCCCTTGTCAACTGACGCACTGTCGCTCTCTGTCAGACCGCCTGTTGAGTCCCATACCGAAACAGGTGGAGGACAAACCTCTAGGACTACCTGCACTTCGCCAAGCATTGTGGACTGAAGACGAAGAGTTGACGGCAATTGCATTCGCCCCATACAGTGATTCTTCAAGTTGCTGACAGGTTTACCAAACATCGCCACATTTGCTTAACAATGCGCTCGATGAAAAGTTCCGCCGCAGTGCTGCGAGAGCTCCCGTAGCTCACTCCCGGCCATTTTGGCGTCTCACCAAAAACACGGCTTGGTGTTCCTAAACCTAACCATGAACCATGAACCCCAAACCCTATAGACCCCAACAGGCCCCACCGGAGAGAAAAAAAGAAGACCAGAATTGGATGTGAAAAGTTCAGATCTGGATGGGGGCTATCAGGGTGTAGTCTCGCCCAGACCCAGCCCGCCTTTTTGCGGTATACATGGATCATCTTGGAACGTCGAACCCACCGCCCTCCCGCATGCTGCAGTCCTTGAACCCAAGTCTTTGTCTTGTTTGGGTATCCCGAAGAATTTAGCCCGCAAGAACACGGCCGAGGCCACTATCAGCACAGGAAGGTGAAATCCTTGGAGAAGCGCCAGAGGGACTCCGCCTTAAGCCGCTAACCCCTCTACCCTACACCCTAACCCTGACCCTGAACACGGAAAGTCCTTTCACCTTCAAACCCTACACTGCTCAGCCAAATCATGACGGAATTTCAGTTCCTGACACGCCTCACGTCTGCTTTCCACGAAACTTCAGGGTTTGCCCCTATAAAGGATCCCAAAGAGGACCCGTGCTGGCAGGACAGCCCTAACCCCCAAAGCCCGATACCCCAAAACCCTACATCTTTATACCGTTTAGGGTTTAGAGTGACCCTCAGCCCTTACAGGAGATTCTCAAGAACCTTGGAGTGGGACGCATCCTTTCCGTGCTTCTTCCCCACATCACAACGCGTGCTGAGACGGCCGGCTTGCTGCAAAGGACTTTGACCAGGGTTTGGGTTCACCTCCCGAAGCCCGAGAATTTGGGGTGTAGGTGTAAAACCCTCAAATCTGAACCTTTCATTTCCCGCTTTGGTTTCGGGCCCAGGGTTGATGCTACAGTCCAGAGAAAGCAGGGGGTAGGGCTGATTCTGGGAATTTGGTCCACCTCGCACCGCATCTTCAAGCTTCCTGTCGAGGATCAACCCCCTTCTCCGTCAGATCCGAGCAATCTCGACTCCAAACGCGCCGACTGACCTTCGCCCTGTGGTGACTTTGCCTGGCTTAGGTTCAGTTTCGGAGTTAGACCTGAACCCTAAACCCTAATTCCTAAACCCTAGTTCGCGTGTGCGGTGCGAAGCGCTGGCTCATGCGCAGCCCGCGTTTTGGGTCGCACTTGTTGGTTGTCACCGTACAACACGAGGGCTTGGCGATGTCCAAAGCAGAGGGGGGGAGGGGGAGGGGAAAGGGGAAATGGGTGAGGGGGAGGGCCCAACAAGGACCTATTGCTTGCAAGCAACAGCCGCGTTGATCCCGAAAAAAGTCAAAGTTTTAGCAGCAGCCCCGCTTGTAAGAAAGAAAGGGTTGGTACTATGAATCCTACAAGACAAGAACACGGTATGCAAACCAACTTTTGATGCCACTGCTACATCACAGGAAAGTAGAGGCAGTCCTAAGGTACCTTGAGAAGCCGCCACCTGGCGCCGCAGTTATAGCAGAATACCATGGGCTACGACACCACAAGCCCCAAGCCTGAGAAGTGATATGTAGAACTGCGGACTCCATGAGAGGCTTTAGCTGTGAACCCCAAACCTTGAGCCCAGAACCAAGGGCCGGACTCTGTCTCGCATGCCTCTTGCCGGACTCTTGGCGTTGGTCCAGACGTTGGCACCTCCCGACCTTGCTCAGGCAAGTTATGCGGGGGTTGGGGATTAGGGATTATAGGGACTAGGGAATAGGATTTAGGGTTTACGGTTCCAAGAAATCCTTCGGCTTTTGCCATCTGCCCAGGCCTTGGAACTGGAAAACCCCCTGAACCGCCGAGCCTTCTGCATGGCTCGATGGCTCGTGAGTCCTAAGCCCCCAGCATCTTCCTAACACTTTTGATAAACTGCTACCTTAAGAACCCTAACAGCCCTAACAACCCAAATGTCTAAGGGTAGTTTCATGGGCCCTTACTATGGTCCCTTACCTCCTTTAAAGGGTTCTGAAGTATGGGCCCCTAATTTGTTGAGGGTATAGAAGGGGTACATAAGAGGTCCCCTTTTAAGGGCCCATAGTAAGGGACCATGTAACTACCCCAAGAAAATGTTCCGAATTAGCCTGATAACCCAAATAGTCCTCATAATCCTAACAGCTTCTAATAACCCTAACCGCCCCTAAACCCTGAAAGGAATCAGGGAGGGAGGTGTTTGGGTTTGCAGGCGGCGCAGACAACTCTTGAAGCGATGCGGGCCGAGAGCGCGACGGGACAGCGCCGCTAAGCCGACGTTTAAGAGGTTAGGTTAGGGTTTAGGGGCTTGAACCAAGCCGCCCCGACTCAGACTTGAGCCCTACCAACCAGCTGTGCGTTGGGTTCGAGGGTTGGGTCGAGGGTCCCGGCTTTAAGCCTTCAAGTCCAGCGGTTCAAGGGTTTGGGACTTTTTTGTTTCTTTTTTCTTCCGTGTTTGGGACCCTAGATCCGAGACCCGCAGTTGAGCCTTGTAAGCCTGGCCGTCTGTCTACGGCTCTGGCGACGTGGATAGCAGTTCTTGTGGACTCCCGGGTAAGTTTAGGAGCTTCAATGGTTCAGAGTTTAGTGCTCGGCTTGCCACTGACCAAACCGCCCTACGCTCCTGAAACCCTCAAATGAAGCCCGCAGCCCCTATCTGGACTCACTTCGACCTGACCTTCAGCCCTGCCTGAACCTCTAGTGACCCTGACCCCGAACCCCAAACCCGACAGCTCCCCATAACCCTATCAGCTTCGAGCCTGGGACACGGCAAGAACGAGTTGATTCTTCGCCCAAGAGTGGCGATGCCCTGTTCCTACTGGGGCGCGGGGGTCGTTGCAGGTTCACCGAGAAGAGACAGTTTCGACCCTTGGCACAATCGGAATATTCGGAATATTGTTGGGAAACCCTAAAAACCAGCAGAAGACGAGCGGCATCCACTGGCCGCAAACTGCGAATGCTCAACTGCAACACCGCAACAACCTTGCCTCTGAGTAACCTGCAAGCTGAGATTGCGGGGGGCTTCTCCTTGGCGTTACTGTAGCCTTTGCGGTTCAGAGTTTAGAGTTCAGCGGGTGCTGTTGGTTTGCAGTAGGGTTCGACCGATCTTATGGCTTCGTGGGCCCTTCTCACTCTGAGAGAAGCCCTGCCCGCAAGCACGTGCAGACATGCGCTGCGGCGTGGTGGAAATCCAACGACTGAAGCACCGAAGCCCTGTGTTGTCCAATGGGTTGCGGTCTAGAAGGCACTTGACCCTAACTAAACCCTCAACCCCTACAGACTGAACCCTAAACCCTAAAACCATCCCAAGCGTGCTAGATGCGCAGGGCTTGGGGCTGTCTTAGAGCACGGGTTTGGGGTTTAGGGTTTAGGGTTCAGGGTTTAGGGGATTTGAAGTTCCCTACGCGGTGAATGCTGCACGTCGGAGAACGAGTCCTCTTAGTGTGGCAACGAAGCCGTACGCAACGCTGGGGAGATGGCCGTCGCACAGAGCTGCCCAGGACCCAATGTTTAGAGTTTAGGGTTTAGGGTTTAGGAGACATACTGCGAGTCGTAGATCCTAAGTCCAAAAAAACCTAAGGCCGTGACGGTTGACGTCCTCTCTGGAAGGGAACGTGATAGCTTCCAGCAGTTCCGGGTTCCACCCACGGGTCCATCGCCAACATGAAAGATGCTGCTCAGGCACTACTGTGTGCAGCACTGGGACATGAACCCTGTGTCTACCTAAGCTAGTTGGGTGACTACTATTTGCTTAAGAACCCCAAAAGAATAAAGAAAATATTCCTTCCATTACCCTTTAAGGGTTTTTTTTCGGGGCTCTTAAGCAATTAGTAGGTGAAGGGTGAAGTTTAGGCAGTGTTTCAGGAGTTTGCTTCACATATGGTATGTAAGCAGTGCTGGCGGTCTCAAGCAGCACGGTAAAAGGGTCTCAGTTTACAGCCAAACCTTCCAACCTGTTCCTGTAAATGGCTTTAAGTTGCCGTGAACCCTATATCCACTTCTGGGACCCTCGGATTTTCAAAGGGGGTGAGTGGAGGACGCCTACCAAATATTCCTGATTACGGGTGGGGACAAGCTACCACGTGTTCACGAAGCCAGGTTTTGCTTGATGGGGGTGCGTGGTAAGTACCTACAACGTGGTCCTGTTTCCGGATTTTGCCTATCGGGGGGGGGGGGGGGGGGGGGGGGGGGGGGGGGGGCGGTGAATACCAACAAAGTGTTCCTAATTCTGGGTTTTGCTTAGCAAGGGCGAGAGATGAGACAGATGAGAAAGACGCGAGGAAGAGATGACAGAAAGCTGACGGAGAAATGACGGAGAGGAGAGAGAGAGAGAGAGAGAGAGAGACAGAGAGACAGAGGGACAGAGAGAGAGAGAGAGAGAGGAGAGAGAGAGAGAGAGAGAGAGACAGAGAGACAGAGAGAGAGAGAGAGAGACAGAGAGAGAGAGAGAAAGAGAAAGAGAAAGAGAAAGAGAAGGAGAAAGAGAAAGAGAAAGAGACAGAGACAGAGACAGAGAAAGAGAAAGAGAAAGCGAAAGCAAAGAGAAACAGAAAGAGAAAGAGAAACAGGCAGAAGTCGAGAGTGAGAGAAAGAGAAAAATCAGAGAAAGAGAAAGATAAAAACAAAGATAAAGAGAAAGAACAAGGGAAAGAGAAAGAGCAAGAGCAAGAGAAAGATAAAGATACAGAAGTCGAGAGTGAGAGAGAGAAAGAGAAGAGAACGAGAACGAGAACGAGAAAGAGACACATCAAAAGAAAGCGCGAGCATGAGAAAGAGACACAGGAACAGCGAGAGCGAGCTAGAGAAAGCATGAATAAGAAAGAGTTATAAGAGAGAGAAGAGAGAGGGAGGGAGAGAGAGAGAGAGAGAGAGACAGGGAGAGAGAGAGAGAGAGAGGGAGGGAGGGAGGGAGGGAGGGAAGAGTGAGCGAGCGTGAGCGCGAGCGAGAGCGAGATCGAGAGCAAGAGCGAGAGCGAGAGCGAGAGAGAGAGAGAGAGAGAGAGCGGGAGCGGAGAGCTGGATAACACACTTCGGTTGGGATCTCGTGTCGTGCACTGCGTCTCGTTGGTTTGCCGCGTACGCAATTTGTATCTGCATTCGGATTCGTGGCTCCCAGAAGGTTGTTTATACTAGGATTTTTGGGTTGAGGGATTTAGGGTTTGTTTGTTCTGAGTGCTGGGTATCACTTGCGACAGTTTCCATGCGTCAGATCTCCCAGTGCCAGCGTCTGCTTTTGAAGTCATATGTCGTATATACTTGTTGCGCACGATGGATGGGCTGAACCGTTGTTCGTTACAATCCTGCACCAGGGGCGAACCCTACATGTTGAACCCCTGAACTTGAACTAGGAGCCCTACAACCCTAGTTCCAAAAAAAGCTGTTGGTTTTTTGAGGCTTCCTGCTGGAGAGTCTCAACCGCCCATCCTTCGTTCGGGTCTGAAACCGCACCATTTCAATGCCGAACCAAGATCAACGCCGAACGCAGATCGGAAAATCCGGCGAAGGGCTGTGCGGCGCCGATGATCCCAGGACCTTGTCGGCGGCTCTTCCCACGAACTTCTGGCGTGGGAATGCGTAATTAGGGACGCCTCGCTCTCACAATTTTACGCTAGGCAAGCCCAGAACCGACAAGCCATTCAGCCCAAGGTGGTGGCCTGACCCTAAATGTCTTCTCAGCCTGAACCCCAACCAAAACCTTAAACCCTCAACCCCCCCGACCCCCTTTCGAAGGCTTGGGCTTCCACCGGCTTTGTAGAAATGCGAGCGGAGCCTCCCAAAGTTCTTGCCTGTAGGTTTCAGGGTTTGAGGAGGGATTTAGAAACGTTAGAAACCCTAATAAACAAAACCGCGTCCTCATGGGGTTCATCTGAAGTTAATGTCGTTTTGTTGAGGTCTTCTGAGCCTATGCAATGTACTTTAGGGTTTGGGGCTAGATTCCTCATCAGAAGCTGTTCAGAATCAGGTCAGTCTCCAGCCAGGGCAAGGTTCAGAGGCTCCGGAGTTTGTTTCTTTTTGTGTCCGGCCGCAACGATGTGGCGCGTCGGACAGATTTGCCACGCAGTGAAGGTAAGGCCACGCTCATCGCACACGACCTTCTTCTGTGTAGAGAGGCATGGGGGGGGTGGCGCAGTGCCGGCTGCCGGCCTCTTCTTGAACGAGGATTGTGCAGAAACATGTAAGGGAATCAATGTCGGGGTTTCAATGGCTTTGACCCCAAGTCCGATACTACTGTAGAGGCCTTGAATGCTCAACCAAATGCTGGGGTCGTGTTTGATCTGGGCCCTGTCCGTGTGTGGTACTTTGGTTATGGGGCCCCTTAGCAAGGGAACCCCCTCCTCCCCTGTAATCGCCAAAAAGGCCTTAGGGTCGTAGGGCTTGTTGAAGTCAGTGGGTGATGCACCTAGACCTACCCCAACCCCTGAACCCTGAACCTTTCCTTACGCCCTCAGCCTGATGCAGGGTCATTTCTCTGGGTGAACCTGGCCTTCCTTCCTTCAGGGTTTAGGGGGCTTGGGGTTTGGGGGATTTAGGGCGAAGCGTTTGGGGGTTAGGGTTTAGGGTTTGAATCGAGGGTTTAGGCCCATTTGTTAGATCGTTCTGGGCACGGGTTCCCTACTACACCCCTCTATACTACTTGGAGGTTCATGTTACTTTTCCACCAAGAATAACTGTACTTACAACCATAGTAGGGCACTTAGAGAGCTTGTCAGTGGGTTCTAAGTACAGTTATAAGTACAGTTACAACTGGTAAGTACCATGAAGCTCCAAGTACCCCCTAGGTGAACCCATGATACACAGAGGCATCTTCGAGAGGCAGGCAGCCGCATTCGATCTATGACAGTGTAGTGTTTTTCCACTCCGTGCGCGAGCCAGGCTCCAAAAAAGAGACCCTAAAACCCTAAGCCCTAAACTCCAAACCCTAAACCCTAAACCCCAAACCCTAAACCCTAAACCCTTGCAATGGTCGCAAAGTCGCCAGGCTTGTTCAGCCAAAGGTGGGCCGCGCGCCTTCGTCCTCGCCGCCGTGCCGAAGATGCCCGGCCCACGGCGGAAGGAAGAAAGCTTCAGAGGATTTAGGGTTCGGGGTTTAGGGTTTAGGTTTAGGGTTTAAGGATTTAGGGTTTAAGGATCTTAGGGTTTAGGGCTTTTGGGTTTAGGGTTGATGGTCAGGGGTTCTAGGGTTTTGGGGTTTAGGGTTGATGGGTTTGAGGTTCTGGGGTTTCGGGTTTAGAGTTGATGGTTTGGGGTTCAAGGATTTAGGATGTAGGGTTTAGGGTTTAGAGTTGATAGTTTGGGGTTCAAGGAGGGTTTAGGGTTGAGGGTGGATTGGGCTGGGCTCAAAGGATGTCAGGGTATACGGATCAGGTAAAGCTATTGGGGCGATGCTTGCTTGGAGGCTTTGAAGAGAATCATCATTTCGGTCACTTCTCTACCTGTACATTCACCCTAAGGGATCCATGGTACCTGTATAGTGTATACTTGAGCCTTACAAGGGGGTTTCTACATGGTAGCTTTAGGGCCCAGGTATATACTATATGGTCACTTCTCTGGCTTATGGTCCCATTTGGGGTTGAGAATGTAAGGCGGCCCTGAAATATTTAGGATTTAGGGTTTGGGGTTTGGGGTTTTAGGGTTTAGGGTGCCAGAATGTTGAGAACTTGGCCCTTTCGGTCCACGCCCACATGCTGTGTTTCGGGGGGTTGGGGACTACTCTGCTGCCAGACATCTCTGCTGGATATGGGGGTTGACGATCATAAGGGACCCCTAATATAGACCCCCAAATAGTGGGATTCGCCCCCAAAGAGGTACCCACATATGGGTTTCTATCCAGGATCCTTTCCACCCTGATCCCTGAGCCCGATATCCTAAACCCTGAACCTCTAAACCAACATGTTGCTGGCTACCTAGCCCAAGCCCTACTTGGAGGTTCATGGTACTTACTAACCAATTACTTGTAACCATATTAGGGCACTCAAGGGGCTTACAAATAAGTGGGTCATAAGGACAATTGTACTTGGTTAAGAAGTACCATGAACCTCCAAGTAAGAGCCCCCAGCCGCAAAGACTGCATACCCTGGGTACTCAGAATGTAAGTCACAAACCCTTCTTACCTTAAACCCACTCTCTGACACCAGAATCATAGAGCATTTCTTGGCCGCAACACTCTTCGGAATATGCCCTACCCAAAGCCAATACCCCTTAACTAAGGAGTATACCTTATATTTGCATTGGGATCCTTGATATGAATTAAGGTATCTTAAACATTAAACCCTAAACCCTAACCCCCATAGCAGTCTCTGCATCTGAGTCTTCAACTGATGAGCCGCCTCATCGACGAGGGCGGGGGCCCACAGATGGAAGTTGTGGGTTAGGGGTTTAGGGTTTAGGGTTTAGGGTTCAGGGTTCAGGGTTTAGGGTTTCAGGGCTTAGGGTTTAGGGTTTAGGGCTTAGGGTTCAGGATTTAGGGTTTAGGGTTTGGGGTTTAGGATCCAGAAGTTCATAGGCCCTCCACTTCCAAGAGAGGAGCAACACGAGCCCTCAGCAACATGTGATTTTTCAAGCTTCCGGATGTAGGGCTTGCTTGGAGGTTCATGGTACTTATTAACCAGCTAAAACTGTACTTATAACCCACTTATAAGCCCCTTAGGTGCCCTAATATGGTTATAAGTACAGTTATAAGTACAGTGATGATTGGATAATAAGTACCATGAAATGCCAGGTAGGGTTGAGGGAACCTGAAGCCCCAAACCCCAAACCCCAAACCCCAAACCCCAAACCCCAAACCCCAAAACCCAAACCCCAAACCCCAAACCCCAAACCCTAAACCCCAAACCGGTTGAGGGTTTAGGGTTTAGGGTTTAGGGTTTGAGGTCCAACGAACTGAACCCTACAGCCCAGGCCCCCCCCCCTTCCCCAATGGTTTTCTGGGCCAGCTGGGGGTTCTCGGCAACTCGGCCCTACTTGGAGGTTCATGGTACGTACTAACCCAATTAAAACTCTACTTATAACCCAAGTATAACCATGTTAGGGCACTGAAGGGGCTTATAAGTGGGATATAAGTGCAGTTACAACTGGGTAGTAAGGGTTTAGGGCTTTTAGGGATGTTTAGGTTTACAGTAGTTTACATCCCAAGGCAACCCCTGAAAAACACACCGAAAGACCCACAACTCCAACCGCCACCCTAGTCTAAACCCTCAACCCTCAACCCTCAACGGCAGCCTCAGGTCATGCCAGCATGGACGATGCCGTGGAAGACGGACAGGGCCCTGGGTAGGTACAGGAAGGTGTAGGGTCTAAGGGTTCAGGGTTAAGGGCGACCTCCAAACTCCCCCAAAAGGGGTACGGGCCTTCCTGAACGAGTATCGTTGCTGGTTTTTGCAGGTGCATGGCTGCCTAGTTGGGACAATTTGCTTTCGTTAAAGGTCCATCTAGGTGAGGCTTTATCCGTTTGACCATCCACGGTGCTGAAAGATATAGTCACGTAGTCCGTAGTTTTTAGGTAGGAATTCTAAGCCGGGCGCCCCTTAAAGGGGCCCTGTTAAGGGCTTCTTTCAACTCTACTTCGTACCTAAACCCTACCTGCTTCCTGCCTGCCCCCTCCCAGAGCTCGGCGCCTGAGTCCTTAGGGTTTAGGGTCTAGGGTGTAGGGTTTTTTGGGTTTAGGGTTTAGGGTTTAGGAGTCCGAGGCGGCGACGATCCGTGGCTGGGCAGTGGAACGGGTGGAGACGATCGGGCATCGCCCAAAGTCGCGCGCCCAAAGTTTTGGGGACAAGGGTTCTCTAGAGAGCCCCCATACCCCTTAGGAATATAACTTAGAATTTGTATATATATATATATGTATATATATACATATTATAGGTATATATGTGTATTATGGCTTAGTAGTTTATGTCAAGGGCTCCCCAATACACCTTCATTAAGGAACAAACCTGAATTTAATCTAGGGCGCCTGATCCATTCTGAGGGTAGTTTCATGGGTGTTCTGTAGATGGTCTCTGATCTCCTTTAACGGGTTCTGATGTATGGGCCTTAAGTTGTATGGGGTAAGATAAGGGGTCTATAAGGGGCACCCTTTTAAAGGGCCCATACGCAGGGCCCATGAAATTAGCATCAGAATCACATCCCTTGCCTGGGGGGGGGGGTAAAATTGCTCTGTGGGTTCTCAAGGCTTGGGAGTTGGGGGTCTAGGGATCAGGGCTTTCGGGTGTCACACTGCACCTCATACCATGCGCCTTAAGCCCGAATTCCTAAATCCGAGAAAGCCGCAGTTGATGCAGAACCCTCAGGTTTGCGTCCTCCAGTTCAGGTTTAGGGGGAAGGGCCAACAAAGAAAGACAACGCGCGCGCCGATGCCATGAATCGGCTGAACAGCCCAGCCCTGCACCCCAACGTGATGAGGCTCATAGCGGGCTGCCTGACTGGGAGATGTTGGAGGCGAGGTCGGAGATCAGCATGCAGAGCTCAGGGCCCCAGGGTTTGGGGTTTAGGGTTCAGGATATAGAGTCTAGGGCTTTCGGCTTTGTAAAACCCTAAACCCTAAACTCAAAACCCAAAATGACCACCTCCCTCTGAGGAGGCTCGTCATGTAGGTCTCTGAGCAGATTTGGTTCACTTGTCTCTCAGCCCAACAGAATATGGGGGTTTACGAAAATAGGGGTACCTTTTCGGGGGTCCTTATTATGAGGGAATCCTACTATTTGCCCCTATTTTCGTAAACCCCCATATTGCAAAGTGTGGCATGGACTACCCAAACCGTGAATCCCAAAACGCTAAGTCTTGGACCCTGAGTTTGCGCGGCAAGACGTAAATGCACACCCCCCTCCCCTCCCCCGCCCAAAAACATAAAAAGTTGGCTCCCCATTTTGAGAACAAGTTGCCCTCAAAGGAGGCCAAGGTATTCAGAGATATTCTCCCAATCTGAGGTAGATTCCTGAATCTGTGTGCTTGCAGACGCGGCCAGTGGCTCAAACCGCGATCAGCTTACCGCCCAAGTGGCCGCCTACATCTTGTTTTCAATTGTACCGTGCGCCATGAATCGCCTGATCTTGGCGCTTACTCTGAGTTTCGCATGTGCGGAGGACTGCGTGGCTCCTGTGACGGCTCCATCCCTGTTGCAGAATGGACATACTTCACGGGCCGTGCTGTGGAAGCACGGCACAAGGAGTGCAATCATGGCGCCCACCACGAGCTCTGGATTTGTATCGATCCTCGTTTCGTCTTTGTGGGCGATCGGTGTTGCAGCATCCGTCATTGCCATTGGAGTTGTGGCCACCCGCCGGGGCATCATCGATCTTTCAGTTCGGAAGGCGATGGGAGCGATTACCATGAAGCTGGCAATTCCAGCACTTCTGTTTTCTCGGATCTTGTATTGCGACCAGTGCAACACGGGTGGAAATCAGTGTGCACCATGCCAGCCCTTCCTGAGCATCATCCTCTCCAGCTGGATCCTCTTTCTTTTGCCGATCGTTGTAGTAGGGCCAGGGGTGCTGCTGGGAAAAGCAGCGGCTGCGCTCTCATCTGCACCAGAGGATTTTGCAAGAGGCACGGTTTGCGCTGTGGCTTTCGGCAACTCGACCGGCTTGCCGATTGTACTCTTGTCAGTGGTATCGTTGGGGAGCTCCGCTTCAGGGAATATGGGCAACATGGACCCGCTTTTGCGCCTCCCTGTCTACCTGCCACTAGCTGCTACTGGCAGCAACATTTTGTCAAGGGTAGGTTTGAACATGATCTTTACTTTTAATTGCCCTTACTCCCTATATACCCCTTGAAAGCCACAGAATTTGATTTTTAGAGGGCCCCTAAACCTACCCCAGTTGTTGAGTCGAGACAGGAACATAGTCATGAATGATGTTGGGGGTCTCCCAAAATTCGGGGTCCCGGTTATGTCTAGGACAGCCCTTCTGTTGTGAAGTGGGTAAGAAGATGGCATGGCGTTGCCTTACCCTAAAGCCCAAACCCAACTTCCATAAAACACCCTGAACCCTGAACCCTGAACCCTAAACCCTAAACCTAAACCCGAAACCTTAAACCCGAAACCCTAAACCTAAACCCTAAACCCTAAACCCTACACCCTAAAACCTAAACCCTAAACCCTATTCATCCTCCCTCTTCTAGACCCCGAGGATGATCTATCCAATGCTTCAATGGGGCGTTGGACGCTACCTTTTGCGTGACCTGCTGGCGCTTAGTAGGGTTTAGGGTTTAGGGTTTAGGGTTTAGGGTTAGGGTTTAGGGAATGCGGGAATGAGGGAATGAGGGAATGAGGGAATGAGGGAATGAGGGAATGAGGGAATGAGGGAATGAGGGAATGAGGGAATGAGGGAATGAGGGAATGAGGGAATGAGGGAATGAGGGAAGTAGGTACCTTATATCCCCTACATTCATCCCCTGTAAGGGGAGGGTTTAGGGTCCAGGGCTTAGGGTTTAGGGCACCCTAAACCCTAAACCCTAAACCCTAAACTCTAAACTCTAAACTCTAAACTCTAAACTCTAAACCCTAAACACTAAACTCTAAACTCTAAACCCTAAACACTAAACCCCAATCTAAACCCTAAACCCTAAACCCTAAACCCTAAACCCTAAACCCTAAACCCTAAACCCTAAACCCTAAACCCTAAACCCTAAACCCTAAACCCTAAACCCTAAACCCTAAACCCTACAACCTAAACCCTAAACCCTAAACCCTAAACCCTAAACCCTAAACCCTAAACCCTAAACCCTAAACCCTAAACCCTAAACCCTAAACCCTAAACCCTAAACCCTAAACCCTAAACCCTAAACCCTAAACCCTAAACCCTAAACCTAAACCCTAAACCCTAGGCCCTAAGCCCTAAGCCCTAAGCCCTAGACCCTAGACCCTAGACCCTAAACCCTAACCCTAAACCCTAAACCCCGCAATTCCCTAAGGCGATGGCTCGGCCTCAGAGTCTTCAGACAAATCCGAAGAGACGTTCAGTGTCTGGGCCGTACTGGAGCAGGCTCGCAGCCCCCCAGGCCAAACCCAGAAAGGTCACAGGGTTTAGGGTTTAGGGTGTAGGGTTTAGGGTTTAGGGTTTAGGGGCTGAGACCCCATCTCCTCGTCTCAACTGTCATGAAGCCACCGGCAGACCCCCTAAACCATAAACCCAGCGCCCTCAATCTGAAACCCTAAGCCCAAAACCCCCCCGCCTGTCATGCCATCCCTAAACCCTAAACCCTAAGCCCTAAGCCCTAAGCCCTAAGCCCTAAACCCTAAACCCTAAACCCTAAGCCCTAAACCCTAAACCCTAAACTGCCGAGAGCGCCGCTGTCCATATGCATGGGCGCTCAAGGCTTCGACCGAGGTCCCCGACCGAGCGTCTCCACAGAACGGTGAGGGAGGGTAAAGCCTCCCGGTACACGAGACGGCAGTGACTCGCTGCGCTCAGACCAAGGGCGTAAGCCCTACATAATGAGGACCCCAAACGGGGGGTACCCCCTGTCCGGGGCCCCAGACCCCCCCGCCTGCAGTTTTGCCAAGTCAAAAAAACAGCTCTGAAGGGACTCCCCCCCCCCCACAACCCGCCTGGGACCATTCTGGGACCTCCTGAGACCTTTCTGGGCCCCTCTGGGGCCTGCTTGGCCAGGGGCCCCGACCCGCCTCAGACCTCTGCACTTTAAACCCACCTGACCGGGCTGGCAGATTTCAGTTTCGGAAGGGGCTGGTCGAGACCTGGCACCTTGAGGCCCCTGCACCTGGCTGAGAGCTGAGAGCTCCTGTGCTGGGTGAACAATGAGAATAGTTTGGGTGGTTGGGGTGGGATTACATGCTAATGCAAGCGAGCGGCCCGGGTGCTTTTAGCACCGGCGAGCTTCCATTCTATACACCCTAAACCCCAAACCCTAAACCCTACACCCTACACCCTAAACCCCAAACCCTAAACTCTAAACCTGAACCCCTAAACCCAAAACCCTAATCCTAAACCCTAAATCCTAAACCCTAAACCCTAGACCGTGGGAGGCACTGGTGCCTCCAGTTATCGCCGCACTCCTCGGCCTGGTTGTGGGCTTATCCCCTGTCCGGGCGTGGATGGTCGATGTCTTTGACCAGGATGGTGGGATCCGGAAGCATTTTGGGGTTTACGAAAATACGGGACCAAGAATGTAAACCCCCAAATAGCAATCTCCCCTAATAAGAAGGACCCCAGTAAGGTACCACTAATATCGTAAACCCCCCCAAAATTTTCCGGCAGCACAGATCTCGAGTTGTCCAAGAGAGCAAAACCGTAGGATATGCCGTCAGTAGGAAGCAGCCCCAAAAAGCCTACACCCGAAACCCTAAACCCTAAACCCTAAACCCTAAACCCGAAAATCCCTCACCCCCCCCCCCCCCTGAGGATAACGATGCTCCCCTGACGTGGCTCTACGATGGAATCTACAAGCTGGGGGACGCCGCCGTGCCCTTGAACCTCCTCATCTTAGGGAGCGCGCTCTCCAAAGGTGCGAACTTTGAGGCGCTACATCACATATATATATATATATATTAGGGTTTAGGGTTTAGGGTTTGGGGTTTGGGGTTTGGGGTTTAGGGTTTTTGGGTTTAGGGTTTAGGGTTTCGGGTAAACTCTGATCATGTATGGAACCTCAATACGGGTCCTTGCTTTAGGGTTCTGGGTGGTTCTGTAAATGAGGCCCCCTTTAGGGTGCTCACAGCCGCGGCCACCCCCAAAGCAAGCCTAAAGCAAGAATGCAGGTTCTGCCAATGCGAGTCGGGTTTGCCATCGTGCTCAGCAAATTGGTGCTCATGCCGCTGTGCATGAGCGTCGTGGTCTATGGGCTCATCCGCATTGGGCCCAAGGACGGGCTGAACCCTAAACCCTAAACCCTAAACCCGTCAGACTCAGCCAGGGTGATCATTGCAGTGATCACCCTGGCGCTGTTAGTAAGTGGTCAGATTGCTAGCCGGTTTTGAACGGTCATCGGCGGGGAACGACAACAGAAGCAACGCAGCAGCAACTTAGGGTTTAGGGATTAGGGTTTACGGTTTAGGGTTTGCAGCAACCGCGCAGCAGCAGCGCAGCAACAGCAGCAACAGCAGCAACAGCAGCAACAACAGCAAGAACAGCAACAACAGCAGCGGCAGCCAGCGCCGGCCGCGGAACTGCAACCTCGGCATCAGCAACAGCTGTTGCTCCGAGAAGGCCTAACCTCAGATTTGCAAGTTTTCAGATAAACCCTAAACCCTGAACCCTGAACCCTAAACCCTAAACCCTAGACCCTAGACCCCAAACCCTAAACCCTAAACCCGAAACCCGAAACCCTAAACCCTAAACCCTAAAGGGCAGCGGTAAGCACCCCGACAACAAGCATGTGTTTCTCTGGGCTCGAGGATCCTTCTTTGTGGCTCGTCGCCCTGATCGTCAGCTGCACACCGACCGCCAACAATGTAGCAGTGATGGCCGAATCCGGTGCTCATGGCTTGACCTAGTAGCAGAGTAGGTAACCTTTAACCTTTTTGGGGTAATGATAACCCCCTTAGAATCCTACAGGTAAACCTTTAGTTTCCCCAGGTTACTGGACAACTAAGTTGAATACCTACTTTGATTTTTCAAGGTACTTATTATCCAATTAGAACTGACACCTGTTACAACGTCAGCTCTCAACGCGAAGAAGCCCTCTTTTGTGAAACCCGAAGCCCTGAGCCCCAATTCCTCTTGGCTCACTGCTCCCCTCCCCCGCTGCCCCTGCCCCCTCCCCCTCCTCCTCCCCCGCTCCCCTCCCCCGCTCCTCCCCTCCTCCCCTGCCCCGTCCCTCCACCGCCCTCCCTAAACCCTAAACCCTAAACCCTAAACCCTAAACCCTAAACCCTGAACCCTGAACCCTAAACCCTAAACCCTAAACCCTACACCCTAAACCCTAAACCCTAAACCCTAAACCCTACACCCTAAACCCTAAACCCTAAACCCTAAACCCCCCGCCATGGAATTGAGCCAAAGGTGGGCAGAACAAGGACGCCATGTCCACGGCGATCTTCCTGCAGTACTTGGTGGCGCCCTTGTGCGTGGCGACGTCAATCGCCTACTTCAATATGCTCCTTGGTAGGACCTTTTCTAGGATTGGCTCTTGGGATATCTTCTATTTTCCTTGTTTTCGGTTTAGAAGGGGGCCCTATATATATATATGTATATATATATACAGATATCTTCAAAGGGTGTAAAGGCGACCCAGGGATATCGCATAGAGTCCCGTATCTCAGAGGTTCTAAGTCGGGAATCCGGTTCTGATCCCTTCCAGTTCAAAGGATCGAATATGCAAGAGGATATAAGGTAGCCAATTCCCTCATTGCTCTGCTGTTTACAACGTTCAAGCGGACAGCTGCATGTCTTTTCCCACCCCTTTACTTGCACTTAGAAACTATTCTGAGACCCTTATTGTAGGAGACCCAAAAAGGCACCCCTATTCTGGGCCCCGATACCCTAAACCCTAAACCCTAAGCCCTAAGCCCTAAGCCCTAAACCCTAAACCCTAAGCCCTAAACCCTAAGCCCTAAACCCTAAGCCCTAAGCCCTAAACCCTAAATCCTAAATCCGCTTTGGGCACAATTCCGTTCACCGCCCAACCGAGGCTCCTTTCATCTAGCTGGTACCTGCCACCTGTGTAGGTCAGAGCAGACTGCGTGCGTTCGAGAATGTCGCCAGACTTTGAAGTTCAAACTGGGAAGCTAGGGTTGAGGGTTTAGGGTCAAACTCCTAGCAAGGAGTTTGGGGTTTAAGGTTTAGGGTCTGGCGTTTAGGGTTTTTTGGTTTAGGGCTGTGTAGGGTTTAGGGGCTAACCCTGAGGGGGGGTCTTTGGGGATCTGAATTCCTCAGTTCCGTATTGCAAACCAGTGACCAGAGTCGGAAGTCTAGCAGATGCAGACAGCGCCCAACTTTGAACACTAATGACTCAGAGGTTCTTTAAAAATCGGGGAATTCGGTCCCCTCTAGAAGCCCTTAAGGTTATACATGGGGGGGGAGATCAGTTCTGAATTTCTTAATACCCGAATTACTGAGAGCCAGTAGTCCCAAGACCGAAACGCAGCCAGGATCGTGCTTGGCCGACTCACAGAAGTTTTCCCCTTAGGGTTGTCACATGGCCCCTTAGTCTGGGCCCTTAAACAAGGGTCTCCCTTATATCCCCCTTTATATACCCTATACAAATCTAAGGGCCCATACATCAGAACCCTGTAGAGGAGGTTAGGGACCATATTGTAAAGGCCCATGTAACTACCCTTGGATTTCCCCTACATGCGCAGAACTGGGGCGGCGCATGACTGGACGGGTGGATTTTTTTGGCTTAGGGTTTAGGGTTTAGGGTTTAGGGTTTAGGGTTTAGGGTTTAGGGTTTAGGGTTTAGGGTTTGGGGCTTACAGAACTCGGAATTCGACTTTGCTGCATTTTCCTACTACAGGGAGGGGCCCCCTAGTTATTAGTAGAGTTTTAGGACCCTAAATTTGGATATAAGGATCCTAAATTAGGTTATAAGTCCCTTAACTCTAGTTAGTATAGTAAGGGGGCCCCTCCTTGTAGGTATGGTTGAAAGTCATGCCTAGTATTTTTCCCCTAGTGTGGCGGGAAAAAACTAGGAACCCGTGGGTCAAAACACATCGCATACTTAGCTTTCAGGCGGCGTTGCTTTCGCGCCCCCAACCCTGAACCCAAAATAGAATTGAGGGTTTAGGGTTCAGGGTTGAGGGTTTTAGCATGTAGGGTTTCGGGTTTTCGGAAGCCCTAAACCCTACACCCTCAACCCTGACAGGAGCGCAGTGTTCCACAAGCAGACAAACCCTAAACCCGAAACCTGAAACCCTCGACCCTCTACCTGAAACCGTAAAACCCGAAAACCCCTAACCCCTAAGCCCCAAACCCTAAACATCCCAAGCACCCAAGATGTACCTATACAGGGAAATGGGGCACTCTCGAGGAGACTTAGGGTGTGTCGGTAATTCCTAGACCCTTAAACCCTTATCCGTCTAAGCCCGCAAACCTCACATCCTAAGCCCAAGACCTTAAACCTGTTCGCCCCAGACCACTCTCAACTCCCGTCTTACATCCTAAACCCTAACCCCTAAACCCTAAACCCTTAAACCCTTAAACCCTAAACCATAAGCCCTAAACCCTAAGCCATAAACCCCAAACCCTAGACACTACACCCTAAACCCTAAACCCTAAACCCTAAACCCTCTCTTACCTATATAATGTAAACCTTAGTGACCCCCGTGGGCGGCAAGATTTCGGGCAAATTTGTCTGCTTTTGCTGCTTGTGGGCACCTTTTTGCCTGCTTGTGGGCATTTTTGCCTCCTTGTGGGCGTCCCCCCCCCCCCCCCCGCCCCCCTTAGGGTCTCAAGGGTTTAGGGTCTCAAGGGTTTCGGGTCTCAAGGGTTTAGGGTCTCAAGGGTTTAGGGCCATTGGGTGTAGGCTTGGGTTTTGGGTCCGCTGGATCTTGAGCTTTAAGCCTACTGGGAATGGATAGAGTGAACTTTGTATTTTCTCAATGTTATGGGTTTCTTGTGTGGGTGGGTGTGTTTCTGAGCTGCCCGACTAGTGAAAGCTCGGACTTGAGCTGCTGAGCCCGAAACCCTAA